TCCTGTCCCACTATCATGCTCAGTCCCCACCAGGATTTCAGCACTTCCTCTTTGTTACGTTCCCCTTGATCATGCCCTACCAGGTTTGGCTGCTGAGATTTTTACTCAGAATGAAAACCATATTATTTCCCCCTTTAAAAACAAATGATATCCATAAATGTACACGATTCCATTCTTACAAGTGGTAAGAAAGATGGACAGGTAGCATCTAATTAGGACATGAAGGTGGAGGGGATGGGTCCAACAATTATATTAGTGTTTTCTTTAAAAAAAATAAAAATTAAAATCAACACCTTCAACCCTCTTGGGTGGTGAAAACAATTAAGCACTAACTACTAGTTGAAAAGTTGACAGTTCAAACCCACCCAGGGGCACTCAGAAGACAGGGCTGGCAATTGGCCTTGAAAATCCTATGAAGCAGTTCTACTCTGTACATATGGGTTCGCCATGCGAAGTCAACTCAACAACAGGGAACAGCAGCAGTCTCCCAAGAGCATCTTTCCAGGAAGTCAGGTGCAAACATTCCACAAGTCTCAGGTTTCCCTCCCAACCCCAGCTCATTCAGCAAGCTGCAGGGCCCATACTGCTGCATTCCGACTTCAGGGACTCACAAGATCATTAGTGATTTTTGAAGCACAGAAACCCTTTGAGGAAGAGACAGACCTTACCTGAACCGGATGAATCCTGGTGCTGGTGCTTCCAACACCTTCTACTGTGGTGACAGCAGCACCGTACAGAGAGCAGATGGGAATCAAGCAGGCATTGGCTGGATAATGTCTTCAGGATGCAAAAGAGAAGCACACATTATATTGTATGCAATTGCATCAAGTTGGCCCTAAGAATAAGCACTGGTTGAGCTCTTGCAATGGACAAGGTCTTTTATAACAACTCCAGAATTTGCATTTGCATTTCATCCTCAGCCCAAACCCATCATAGAAAGGGAATCTGCGGATCAGAGAATCATGTTCAGGGTCATAGCTAGGTGAGTGGCAGAGGCCAGATTCAAATTCAAAACTCACTGCCATCGAGTTGATGCAGACCCATACCAATACTATAGGATGGGGTAGAACTGCCCCTGTGAGTTTCTGAGACTGTCATTGTTTGGGGGAGTAGAAAAACCCGTCACTTTTTCAAGGGGCTGCTGTTGATTTTGAACTACCCACCTTGCAGATAGCAGCCCAATGCATAACCACTCCACCAGCAGGGCTCCTGTCATTCAAATTATGCCCCTTATTTCTAATTCCAGAGTCTTCAACTCAAAACAGTTTTCCCTTGGAATGAAGGGCTAACATTCCCTAGTTACATTTGACCAAGCAGACAGATGCAAGGCTAGGGGTTGGCTGAACATTGAAGCGAATTTGAGGCTGTGTTTGTGAGTAAGAAATGGGATGTGGGGTATCAGGCATCTCAATGTCAAAAGCCCACTGCTAGAGAATGCTCAACTTGTACATATTCCTAAAACGTTCACATTCACCAGGCCCACGGCCAATGCATACATGAAACACATGTACAACCTCAAGTGAGATTCAAATTAAGCAATGAAAACTACTACGAGTATAAAAGAAAAACATTTTTTAAATAGTAATAGCAATTATAAGCTCCCCCCTAAAAAAAGCCTAAAGTAGTGGTTCTCAACTTTCCTAATGCCTTGACCCTTAATATAGTTCCTCATGTTGCAGTGACCCCAACCATACAATTATTTTCTTTGCTATTTCATAACTGTAAATTTGCCACTGTTATGAATCATAATGTAAATATCTGATATGCAGGATGTATTAGGTGACCCCTGTGAAAGGGTTATCGACCCCAAAAGAAATGAGACTTATGCTACTGGTAAGAATATAAATAGCGACTTCCAGGAAGATGGTGACTGAGTAAAACATACCAGAGGGACTCCACAGAAATCAGCACAGGAGAGTTATCTCAACACAGCCACAGCTTGCTGCCACCTCGGGGCAGGGGTTAAACCCCTCCAGCCCCACAGTCAGGGATCGGGGCTCAGCTATATGGTTACTTTTGTTTCCTTCTCTTCTCTGTATCCCCCCAGAGTCTCTGTGGGCTTAGTTTTTTGGTTTTTGTTTCTTTTTCTCCTCCCTTTTCTCACACATGCCACTGCCAACCTCCAGACCACTCCCCTTAGCCTAGGGCATTTACACCTGCCCTCCACCCAGCTGGGAGAGCTCCATCCTCTGCAGTGTAACCTGAGGAGAGGGAAAGCCCACCAATCCCCCACCAGAGGGTATACCGCCCAACTTCTTCCCAGGAAAATTCTGCCCGCCTGTCCTCTGCAGTGCTTAACACTTGGCAGGGAAATCCCACCTGCCTTCTTCGTGGGAATTCCTGCCTGAGTGGCTGGGGGAGCTCCTATCCATACTCTGTGGTCCCACGTGACTGAGGGAACTTCATCCCACCTGCTATAGTGCCTCACACGGCCTAAGGCAGCTTGGCCAACACTGGCCAATATTCCACGCTGCTGCAGTAACCTCTGCCCAACCTCCACAGCGATCTACCTGACCAGGGCCATTCTGCCCATCATTTGTGGTGCTCTACACCAAAGTGGACAACCCACCTGCCTTCTGTGGGTCTCTCCTTGCAGCGGGCACCCTTGCACAACCTCTATGGGTTGTGGGCCAAACCATCATGGCTTCTTGTGAGATCACCCAGTACAGCACCATCCTTGTGGGTCCACAACAACCCAGCCAGTGTCCCTGAGAGGACCATCCAACTTGCCCTCCAAATAATAGAATACTGGACAACTAGGGAAAGAGTGAAGCTACAGGAGGATAAAGTGTTAGGCCAATTCTATAGTGAAATTAGCTGCAGGCAGTTCGAAGAAGAATTCCTATGAGTCTCCCAGAAAGAGCCAGTGCTCTTCGACTCCCTGGGAAATGCCCCCTGGCTCCTCTAAAACAGCGCAACGCAAACAGCAATCAACTCAAAGACCTCAACGAAAAAAAACCAAGAAAAACAAAATTCAATGGCAGATGTCCTGAATCTAACAACGTGCATAGAAGAAGCATACATTGATCTGCCACCGAAAGAAAATTTCAGAATGCTGCTTGGAGTCATACAGGATATGAGGGAAAACAATACAGAAAAAGGATGACGTGATAGAGGAGATACAGTCCATACACCAAAGGGAAATAAAAGAGCTTAGGGACAAAATAACAAAAACCAATAGCAGACTCATGGACTTCGCCTATTGACTGGAGGAGGCAGAAAACTGTACCAGTGATCTAGAGAACAGCCAAGCAGACTTTAACAAACCTGAACAAAAACCTAATAAAATAATCAGAGAAGTCAAAGAAAACCTAAGAGCTATGCCTGATGCTATGAAGAGGAACAATATCAGAATAATTGGATTACCGGAGGAAGACACAACAAAGAAGTCATCTGCAACAATAGTGAGAGAATTCTTAGAGGAAAACTTCCCCCGCTTGATGAATGGAAACCAGGCAACCATTCAGGAGGCTGAAAGAACACCAGCTAGACTGAATCCCAAGAAGTCACAAAGGCACATAATAAGGAAACTATCCAACTTTGAGGAAAAGGAGAAAATCATGAGAGCAGCTAGGGAAAAACAAGTAATCACACATAAAGGTTCGCAAATAAGAATATTCTTAGACCTTTCAGCGGACACAATGAAGAAGAGGCGAGAGTGGAGTAACATTTTCCAAAAATTGAAGGAAAATAACACAAACCCAAGAATACTCTACCAGCCAAATTATCTATCAAGATAGATGGAGAAGTAAAAATCTTCCCAGACAAGGAAAAACTCAAAGAATACGTTAGAAGAAACCCAACCCTACAAAAGATCCTTGCTGACCCAGTATGTGCAGAAGAACACTCACCAAGCATATAAGAGACCACCACATAGAACAACCTCACCTAGAGGGCAACAAAGAGAAAACAGCCCCCAAGATAGCATTGGCTTAAGGATGGAAAGAAGTAAAGAATGATACACACACACACACACACACACACACACACACACGCACAACACACCAATGAGAAAGGAAGGTAGGAAAACACCCCACACAAAAGGCATAAGATGACATCACAGAGTCTGCAGATGGAGATAATAACCCTGAATATCAATGGCCGGAACTCAGGAATTAAAAGACTGAGACTAGCAGACTGGCTTAGAAAACACAACCCATCACTCTGCTGCCTACAGGAGGCACATCTCAAGGCTACAGACAAAAATAGGCTGAGAATCAAAGGCTGGAGAAAGTCATACCAAGCAAACAGCAATTCAAAAAAAATCAGGGGTTGCAATCTTAATCTCAGATAAAATTGACCTCAAAGTGCAAACCATAAAAAGAGATAAGGAGGAACACTATATAATGCTCAAGGGAATGGTAGACAAAGAACCACTGAGCATTTAAAACATGTATTCCCTGAACAAGATACTCACTGAATATATCAACCTAACACTCCAGAAGATGAAAAAAGAAATCACAGCCTCAACAATTATATTAGGTGACTTCAATACTCTGCTGTCTGGAAAGATAGATTATAGGGAAAGAAACTCAACAAGGAGGCTAGAGATCTAAACACTACAATTAGACAATTTGACCTGATAGATTTTTACAGAGCTTTTCATCCAAATTAAAAAAAAAAATCACATTCTCTTCAAGCTCACATGGCACATTTTCAAAGATAGACATGCTGGGGCATAAGGCGAATCTGCATAAATTTAAGCACATTGATATCATACAGACCTCTCTCTCTGACCACTTTGCCATAAGGCTGGAAAAGAACAAAAGAAAACAAGAGTAAACAATTGGAGAATGAATAACTCTCTATTGCAAAAGGAATGTGTACTGGTCCAGATCAGAGATGAAAGTAGGAAGTTTCTTGAAACCAATTTGAATAAGAACATGATGTACCAAAACTTATGGGACACAGCAAAGGCAGTTATCAGAAGAAGTTTCATAGCAATATATGCACACAGAAAAAGGAAGAAAGACTTATGATTGATATGCTGGCACAAAATTTACAGCAACTAGAGCAGAGCAACACGACAGTCCTACTAGTAGCAAAAGAAAAGGAATAATTAAAATCAGGGCTGAGATTCACGAGAGGGAAAATAAGAAAACTATGGGAAAAATTAATGCTGCTAAAAGTTGGCTCTTTGAAAGGATAAACAGAATCGACATACTGGTGGCAAATCTAATCAAAAGGAGGGAACAAATTTCAATAGCAAGGATGAGGGATGGAAGGGGACATTACAACAAACCCTAATGAAATCAAAAGGATAACTACACAGTACTACAAAGGTCTGTACTCCAATGAATTCAACAACTTGGAAGACATGGACAAATTCTTGGAAAAACAATGCCTCCCTAGACTATCCCCATCAAGAATCTCAACAGACCCATAGCAATAGAAGAAATAAACATGGTTATCAAGGGATTACCAACAAAAAACGCCCCTGGACCAGATGGCTTCACAGGAGAATCCTACCAAGCATTCAGGGAAGAACTGACACCAATCCTACACAAACTCTTCGAGAACATAGAAAATGACGGCAATCTCCCAAACTCCTTCTATGAAGCTAGTATAACTCTGATACTGAAACCGGGCAGGGATCCCACAAGAATCAAGAACTACAGACCACTATACCTAATGAACATCAATGCAAAAATTCTTAACAAAATATTGACCAATAAATTCAAAAGTGTATAAAACAAATAATTCACCATGACCAAGTGGGATTAATACCAGGATGGTTCAACATATGAAAGACCATTAGTATCATTTGCTACATTAAC